AGTGTGCTGCTGGGGCGTATAGTATGTTTCCTACTTAAGGCTACTTCTCTAAGATTGGAAAATGAAATCAACATGCCATATACATAGAAATAAAAACAGAGAGTTAGGCAAAATGAAGTGACAGAGAATATGTTCTGAATGAAGGAACAAGATAAAACCCCAGAAGAAGAACTAAGTGAAGTGGAGATAAGCAGTCTGTCTGACAAAGAGTTCAAGGTAATGATCGTAATGATGTTGAAAGAACTTGGGAGAAGAATGTATGAACACAGTGAGCTGTCAGTAGTTTCTAACAAAGAGTTAGAAAATGTAAAGAAAAACCAAACACAGCTGAAGAATGTAATAATTGAAATAAAAAATACACTAGAAGGAATCAACAATAGATTAGATGATACAGAGAGGCAGATCAGCAAACTGGAAGACAGAGTAGTGGAAATCAGTCAAGCTAAACAGGAGAAAAGAATTTTAAAAAATGCGGACAGTTTAAGAGACTTCTAGGGCAATATCAAACATACTAACATTAATATTTTAGGGGCCCCAGAAGGAGAGGAGAGAGAGAGAGAAAGGAGCAGAGAACATAATAGCTGAAAGCTTCCCTAACCAAGGAAGGGAAACAGAAGGAAAGAGGTCCAAGAAGCAGGGAGTGCCAAACAAAATCAACCTAAAGAGGACCACACCAAGACATGTTACAATTAAAATGGCAAAAATTAAAGAAAAAGAATACTAAAAGCAGCAAGGGAAAATGAACATGTTATGTACAAGGGAACTTTCATAAAGCTATCAGATGACTTTTCAGCAGAAACTCTTCAGACCAGAAGGAGTAGCATGATATGTTTAAAGTGATAAAAGGAAAAGATGTACAACTAAGAATACTCCACGTGGCAAACTATCATTCAGATTTTAAGGAGAGATCAAGAGATTTACAGTCTAGCAAAAGCTAAAAGAGTTCAGCAACAAAAAAACCCAGCTTTGCAAGAAACATTAAAGTGAATTTTCTGAGTGTACAAAACAGGCTATAACTAGAAATGTGAAAATTACAAAAGGAAAAATTTCATTGGTAAAGGCATATATACAGGAAAGGTAGTAGATCAACCACTTATAAACCTAGTAGGAAGGTTATAAGACAAAAGTAGTAAAATCATCAATATTCACAATATGTAGTTAAGGGATACAAAAGATGCAAAAAAAGATATAAAATATGATGTAAAATGCATTAAATGTGTGTGGGGGGGGAGGGGAGTAAAAATGCAAGATTGTTAAAATGTGATTGACCTTAAGAGATCAGCATCTTAAAATAATCATATATCCTCAACAAAATACTAGCAAACAAATTCAACCATACTTTAAAAGGATCATACACCATGATCAAGTGGGATTTATCCCAGGGGTGCAAGGATGGTTCAGTATCCACAAATCAATCAGTATGATACACCACATTAAAAAATTGAAGAATAAAAATCACATGATCATATCAATAGGTGCAAAAAAAGCTTTTTACAAAATTCAACATATATTTATGATTAAAAAAAAACTCCCAGTAAAGTGGGTATAGAAAGAACATATCTCAACATAATAAAGGCTACATATGACAAGCCCTCAGCTAACATCATACTCAACAGTGAAAAGCTGAAAGCATTTCCTCTAAGGTCAGGAAGAAGACAAGGATGCCCACTCTCACCACTTTTATTCAACATAGTATTGGAAGTCCTAACCACAGCAATCAGATTAGAAAAAGAAATAAAAGGAATTCAAACTGGAAAGAAAGAAGTAAAACTGTCACTGTTTGCAGGTGATGTGATATTATACACAGAATATCCTCAAGATGCCACCAAAAACTAGTAGAACTCATCAGTGAATACAGTAAAAGTGCAGGACACAAAATTAATATACAGAAATCTATTGCTTTTCTATACATGAACAATGAACTATCAGAAAGAGAAATTGAGAAAACAATCCCATTTACAACTTCATCAAAAAGAATAAAATACCCAGGAATAAATCTAACTAAGGAGATGAAAGACCTGTACTCAGAAAACTATAATATGCTGATGAAAGAAATTGAGGACAACATAAACAGATGGAAAGACACACCGTGCCTATGAATTGGAAGAATTAATGTTGTTAAAATGACCATACTACTCAAGACAACCTACAGATTCAATGTAATCCCTATCAAAATACCAATGGCATATTTCACAGAACTAGAAAAAATATTTCTAAAATTTGTGTGGAACCATGAAAGACCCTGAATAGCCAAAGCAATCTTGAGAAAGAAGAACAAAGCTGGAGGTATCACGTGCCCTGATTTCAAACTATACGGCAAAGCTACAGTAATCAAAACAGTATGGTACTGGCACAAAAACAGACACACAGATCAATGAAACAAAATAGAGAGCCCAGAAATAAACCCACACTTATATGGTCAATTAATCTATGATGCAAGAGACAAGAATATACAGTGAGGAAAAGACAGCCTCTTCAATAAATGGTGTTGGGAAAATGACAGCTACATGCAAAAAAATCTTATTGGACCACTTTCTTACACCATATACAAAAATAAACTCAAAATGGATTAAAGGATTAGATATAAGACCTGAAACCATAAATCTTCTAAAAGAAAACATAGGCAGTATGGTCTTTGACATTGATCTTAGCAATATTTTTTGATATGTCTCCTCAGGCAGAGGAAGCAAAAGCAAAAATAAACAAATGGGACTACATCAAACTAAAAAGCTCAGCAAGAGAACTATCAACAAAATGAAAAGACTGCCTACTGAATGGGACAAGATATTTGCTAATGAAATACCTGATAAGAGGTTAATATCCAAAATATATAAAGAAATCACACAACTGAACATCAAAAACAACAACAACAAAAAAAAAAAACCATACAACTTACTTAAAAAATGGGCAGAGGATCTGAATAGGCACTTTTTCCAAAGAAGACATTCAAGTAGCCAACGGGCTCATGAAAAATGCTCAACATCACTCATCATCAGGAAAATGCAAATCAAAACCACAATGAGGTATCACCTCACACCTGTCAGAATGGCTAGTATCCAAAAGACAACAATAATAAGTGTTGGTGAGGATGTGGAGGAAAGGGAACCCTTGTGTACTGTTGGTGGGAATGTAAATTGGTGCCACCACTATGGAAAACATTATGGAGGTTCCTCAAAAAATTAAAAATAGAATTATCATATGATCCAGCAATTCCACTCCATAAATCCAGCAATATTTATCTGAAGAAAATGAAACACGAATACAAAAAGATATCTGCACCCCTATGTTCATTACAGCATTATTTACAATAGCCAAGATATGGAAGCAGCCTACACACACACACATATACACAATGGAATTTTACTCAGCCATAAAAAAGAATGAAATCTTGCCATTTGTGACAACATGCGTAGACCAGAGGTTATTATGCTAAAGTGAAATAAGTCAGAGAAAGAAAAATACTGTATAATTTCACTTATATGTGGAATCTAAAAAACAAAACACATGAACAAACAAGACAAAAACAGAGTTATAGACACAGAGAACAAAGAGGTCATTGCCAGAAGAAGGGGAATGGAGAGAGGAGAGAAATAAGTGAGGGAGATTAAGAGGCACAAGCTTCTAGTTGCATAATAAATGACTCAGAGGTATGAAATGTTCAGTGTGGAGAATATAGTCAGTGATGATATAATATCTTTGTATGGTGACAGATGGTAACCAGAGTTACTATAGTGATCATTTTGAAATGTATAGAAATATTGAATCACCACGTTATGCACCAGGAACTAACATAGTGTTATAGGTCAGTTATACTTAAAAAACAAACAAACAAACAGACTTTTAGAAAAAGAGATCAGATTTGTTGTTACCAGAGGCAAGGAGCGAGGGAATTGGATGGAGGTGGTCAAAAGGTACAAACTCCCAGTTATAAAATAAACAAGTACTAGGGATGTAATATACAACATGATAAATATAATTAGCTTTATGAAAGTTCTTAGGTGAGTAAATCCTAAGCATTCTCATCACAAGGAAAAATGTTTTCTTTTCCTTTTATTTCATATCTATATGAGATGATGGATGTTAATTAAATTTATTGTAATCATTTCATGATGTATATAAGTCAAATTGTTAAGCTGTACACCTTAAACTTATACAGTGTTCTATGTCAATTATATCTGAGTAAACTTGGAAGAGAAAGAAGTAAAGAAGTAAATAATTTCTGGGTCAGATAAGATATCACAATGGAAATTCAAAAATATTTTGAGATTAATAATAATAATGATGAAAATACTATATACCAACTTTTATGTGATGCATCAAAATCTTTGGTTAAAGAGAAATGCCTAGTCTTAAGTTATAGTAAAGGAGAAATATTAGAAACATTAGAAAGGGAGAAAGATAGAAATTAATGATATAAGAATCTATCTCAAGAAGGTAGAAAAATACTTGCTAATTAAACTCAAAGTTGAAAAAGGAAATAATAGAAAGCAGACATTTATGAAAAAGGAAACATCAATAAAGCCAAACTTTATTGAAAAGATTACCAAATGATAATGTCTGCCAATTTTTATATAGATGAAGAACATAAAAAGGAGACACAAATGACCAATATCAGAATTGAAAAAATGGATACAATTTTAGATCTTACAAAAACTTAAAAGATCCTGAAAGAATACCATGAACAAACTTAATCCAATGATTTTTTTAAAATTTAGGTTAAATATGTCAATTCTTAGAAAAATACAACATATCGAAAGTGACACAAAAAGAAATTTCAGGTAGTCACATAACTATTAAATAAATTAAACTGCTAATTAAAACCTTACCATAGAGAAGACTACAGGTTCAGATGACTTTACCAGTAACGTCTACCAAGCACTCAAGGGAGAAATAATACAATCTTCTACAAACTCTTCCAGAGAATAGTGAAGGAGAGAACACTTCCCAATTTGTTCTTTGAGGCAGCACAATGTTTTATTTTGTTTTGTTTTTCTTTTTTGGTTTATCCTCAGCATTTACAAAACCAGACCTTGGGAAAGAACTAGGTCTGGGGGCACATGCATGGTCTTAATATAGCAAATGTTTACCCTGCCCTGATTATTACAAGAGGCAGCACAATCTTGATACAAAAACCTGACAAGCACGTTGTAAGAAAGGATATTATAGGCCAATTATTCATGAACACAGGAGCAAAATTCCTAAACAAAATCCAGCTTTTTAATATAAAAAGTATAATACATCACAACCATGTTGAAGTCATTTCAGGAGTTCAGGGTTGGTTTGACATCTGGAAATCAATCGTAATTCACCACGTTAACAGAATAAAGAATATGGTCATCTTCATTTTTGCATAAAAATTGTATAATAAAATTTAGCATTCATTCATTATTAAAAATCTCTCTTAATAAATAGGAATAGAAGGAAATCAGATAAAGTTTATCCTGAAAAGGAAGAAGTCTTTGGCACTCAACTTGGTATCAGTCTGTTCTTTCCTGGATCTAACTCAAATCTACTGAACCTTCTCCTTGACCAATTCTGAAAGGAGGAAGGAAGTGAGCTCCCCAGGTCATCAAGAAGTGTTTCTTCTCACTCTCAGATAAATCTGCTTGGGAAGCCAAGTAATAATCAGAAGGTTGCTTTGTGAGAATCAGAGGAGAATGAATAAGATCATGTTCATAGACAATATCCATTAATTATGGAAAGTTGATGTATACATCTTTGCATAGATGAGAACATTTGTGTTCCTGAGTAAGAAATACTTCTGAATTCTAGGGAGATCATTGGTCTTCTATTAAGGAAAATGGTTTCTTTACACTGAGTGTAATTTGAATACTTGGGCTATGACTTTACACATGCTAATATAGTTATTCTCTGATTCCTGTTGGCTGTGTTATTCTTCTATTCCTTTGCTCCTGTCCGATAATCAAGACATCCCCAAATACTTTGGGTTTCTCAGTGAGCCAGACTGATTTATTCATGTGTACGTTTTTTTCATATCCTGTGACATTTTCCTGGAATGAGCTTCCCATCCTTACACCACCACCACTCTTTATCCATTTGGCAAACTCCTATTTCCTCTTCAGAATCCAGTGCAAGTATCTTTCCTCTTGAGGTCTTCCCTTCTTTATGTTCTCACTGTATCTTGCCTATCTTCTGTAAATGAACTTACCACAGTGCTAAAATGTTTAGTTCTGTCTCCCTGTTAGATTTTGAATTTCTTGAGAGAAGATTCTGTGTCTTTATATTTGTATTCCTAGTATTTAAACTCAATAAAATTTTATTAAATGAAGAAATAAATGAGTGAATGAATAAGTAAATGATTGAGTGAACCCACCTCAGTAGGCCTCTATCTTTTTATGATCAACATTTGGGTATTCTGCTAAGCACTCATGAACTCATTCTAATGAGTAATGAAAACTTCTCTGGTTGAGTACATTGAATTTACAATCAATAATTAACTTTAAACTGAATTATAATTGCTTTTGTAATACTACTACAATGATGGGCATTCGAAATGCTGACTTTTCAGTTGCATGCTATAACCTTAACTTTTAATTTCATTCTGCCTTTGTTAAGTTAAACAGAAGGGAGAAGGGGTAGAAGGAATTGAAAATTTCAAGGAATAAGTTTAATTAGATATGTAAAGGAGGCTGAAAAACATTAAAAATAAGATTCAGTTCAGAACCAAGATAAGGTATCAATTACTAATTAAGTTCAGTAGTTTAATACCAAAGCAAATAAGTGAGATCAGAGTTACCAGGGAAATGGAGAAACCAGTTCTTCTCACCACTTTCCAGCCATTTTCACTCACTGCATGTGTAGAAAATGAAATTGTTTTCAGCACCCTGGGGTAAATGGATGAGGATGCTTGCTACTGAAGACCAGTGGTCCAGGGGTTCTGGCTGCCCCAGGCTCGACTTGGTCATGGGTGAGATCTAAGGAGATCAGGATCTCAGCAGCCCTTTGCGCCTGACTACTGGGGAAACTCTGAAGTTTCAGAAAGGGGAGTTGAATGTACCTGCAAAGATTTATGGTCTTGGCTTTCAGCCTAATCTAACAAACTAAAAAGTGTTCAGGGTAAGCTAGAAAGGCATGTACTAGTTAAGTTTCATAGCTAGGATTGTTTAGCCCAGTGATTTGCAACTCTGGATGCATAATGGAGTCACCTGGAAGCTTTTAAAACTCCCTACCCTAGTACGATTAAATTAGCATCTCTGTGGGAAGGGGTATAGTGTGGCATCAGTATTTTTTAAAATCTCTCTACAGATGACTCTAAAATGTATCCAGAATTAAGGACTGCTAATATAAGCAGTGACTGATGATAAAAAAAATGATTGGTTAGGGACCTAAATTTTAACTCTGTATGTTTTTTAAAAGTGCCTTAATTGAATACTTATGCTTAGTGGTTTTTTAGCATAGATTTTTTTTTTCGGTTTTGTTTTTATTGTTGTAGAAAAGTGTATAAGTCAGTCAATAGTTCTGTATTTATCTCAGTCTTGAACTTAAAGGCAAATATGCCCGCTGAATTGGTCAGGGATGGTAACACTGGAGGTTTTAAAACTAAGCCTTGAAGAGTAGATAGAATTTAAATATGCAGGAAAGGTAGATTAAGGTGGGGGATAAGAATTGTAAGTGGAAGAATGGCATGAGCACAGGGGAGGAGAAAGTGTAAGAAAATTCCAGGGAAGAGTGCTGCAGAGTCTGAGACAAAGGCCCAATGGCAATTGAAAGGGACAGCCAAAGCCAGCCATCTCTTGAGGGCATATGAGAGCAGTCCAAGGTGACCATCTTTCCAAACCTCTTTAGCCATTGAAAATGTACATGCCCAGGCTCCTTTGATCTCTAGTTCAAGGATTATACGGAAGACCTGATTACAGAACATGTTTTTTGAGTGTTAATTACATGCCAGGCACATTTTCTAAGCATTTCATGTGTATTAGCTAATTTAAACCTCACAGCAATCCCGTGAAGTAGGTTCTATTATGATCCCTTGTTTACAGATGAGTTAAATACAGCACAGTAGGCTGCTGTTTTTTTTGTGATCTCTCTATATTCACTACTTTCCCTTCATGGCCCTGACTCAGAGTGTCCGTGATATATTTACTGAACACAGAATTATCTAGTTAAAACAGAAATGTACCATGTAGGGATAGGGTGGAAGTGGGTACTTGGAAAGAAGGTCAGGTAGGGATCAGAGAGTTAAGTATTTTGAATTTATTTTCCTATAGATATAAGGAATTTACTGACGTTTTTGAGCAGGAAGTGGCATGATGAAAATTTTTAGTAAACTTGGTCTGGAAAGATAGGCAGGATGGATTGAGGGTGGGGGGAGGGCAGGAGGTAAACGTGATACTAGCTGACCAGTTAGGAAGCTAGTGAAATAATCAAGGGGTGATGTGATAAAAAGCTAGGTCAAGGTAGTGATAGCAGTAACAGGGAAGGCACAGATGCAAGGACCATTATGAAGGTACTGGTGACTAGATAGTGAGCCTGAGGGACTGGGTGAGCCACAGGAGGTCTGGGGGCAATCCTGATAGGGGAAGGTAGGGAATTTCACTTTAGCTTTTTTTTTGACTTGGCAGGATATTGATTTATTCCAGCCTGGGATGTGTTATTGTATTTGGTATCCTGACTTCAATTTTTAAACTTTATTTTGTGTACATCCTTATTTTTGATATGGATGGCACTACTTATCTGTATGTTTTAATTTTACATCAATCCTTTACCTAGTAAGAATAGGACATTGACCTTATTATTAGAATATGTAATTACTGTTATTTTTATTATTAATATATGTAGAATTATTAATAATATCATTATTTACTCTAGGTTATCAGACCAGAATGAAGAGGGCAAAACCAAGCAGAAGTGTATCATATCTGACCCCTCCTTTTCCATGGTAACAGTTCAACGGGAAGATAGTGGAATAACCTGGGAGACCAATTCAAGTAGGTCTTCCACTCCTTGGGCCTTGGAAGAAAGTCAGACCTCTGGTGTGTGTAGTCTGGAAGGGTCGACTCTGAAGTCTCCTCCAGGGAATGTTTCCTTTATTGTGGATGAAGTTAAAAAAGTTCGGAAAAGAAAGCCTAAGTCAAAGCATGGCTCACCATCATTGCGTCGGAAAGGCAACAAAAAAAGAAATTCTTTTGAATCCCAAGATGTTCCAGCAAACAAAACAAGTAATCCGTTAATTTCAGAAAGCCAGGAACTAAAGAGCCAGAAAAAGAATTCATCTACTGGCATTTACGATAAGATGAGAAACAAGAAGACCACCTCAAATACACCTCCTATCACTGGAGCGATATACAAAGAACACAAACCGTTAGTGTTAAGGCCAGTCTACATAGGAACAGTACAATATAAAATTAAGATGTTTAATTCTGTTAAAGAAGAATTAATTCCTTTACAATTTTATGGAACATTGCCAAAGGGTTATGTAATTAAAGAAATACATTATAGGAAGGGGAAAGATGCGTCCATTAGTCTAGAGCCAGATTTGGGCAATCATGATTCTAATGTAGTTTCCAAAACAGGCAAATCAGTAGCCCAAAGCATAGACGATGATGAAGTAAAAGAGCTTGCTGCACCCTGGAGAGGTGCAGTTTCCAAAGGATCAAAGTCCCTGACCTCATTCAGTCATGAAGATCTAAAGAAAATTTACGCTGATTCTCCCTTAAGGGCTGCATCTACTACCAAGCACACACCTTCCTCTTATACAAGTAATGACACAGCAGAACAAGAAACACAGCTCAGCGCGCCACAGTCAGTGCCACAGCTGCCAGCTGATGAAGCAAAACCCCGTGAGATAGAGCCTTCCTCTCTTACACCCAATACATCTGCACCTGCGTTCCTGGAAACAGCAAAGGAAGAATCTGAGGCTGATTCACGAGAAATGGTAACTGCAGAGCATGACTCTTCAGTCTCACTGCCATTAGTGGATGAGGTAAAGAGGGAAGACGTATCTTCTGCTGACCATTCCATTTCACTGGAGGCAGAGAAGGGTTCTCTGGAAACACTTTCACCGGGTCTGACAGCCTCTATCCAGGAAGATTTTGGCCCAGAGAGAGAAGAACTGGATCTGACTTCACCAGAAAGGGCAAAACCAGTCTCTGAACGACTGAACCCTCCT